TTGGAGTATTGCTACCTTTTATCAGTGTTTTTTTAATTTAGTGGTGAACCACACGTTTAATGAAGAATCATACGTCCTAAAATTCCTGAGTGCTTCAAGTAACTTACTTGTTGTAATTGAGATAGCTTATATATCTCTAAAAGGTGTGTGTTTGTATTAATGTTCAAGGATTATGACATATCATGGTCATTTCTATGTCCAGTATTTTCACGATCTTCATAGCTCATTGGAAAAGCATAGATACACCAGGCTCTACTTCCCATTTAGACTATTTTTGTAAAAGGCGTGTTACAGTTCTTCTGACAAAACAGCCTCAAACACTTGCCGAAGAGAATAAATTACAGTAGGAATGGGTGGTAATTATTAGGCACTTATTTTTGGAATAAGAAACCTTCCTTAATAAAAGACTATGTACTGTCCTCTCAAAGGAACAGAGTATTTTCCCCAAAGTCAAAAATACACTCTTAATAGTTCAGGAACATAATCCTACGGGGGTTAAATTAGGTTTAACATGTGTTCCCAGAAAGTCAAGTTCAAGCTGGGCGCAACCCTTGGCTTACAAGGACCACTTAAAAGCAAATTTGAATCTTTCAACACAATAACTAATTTGATTTTTCTATTTTTGGAGCAGTTTGTTGGGTTTAATGAAGGCAAATCTTTATGCAAGGTGTGCAGTTCACAAATAGTTTCAAGAGGACTTAGTTTAAATTGTTGACCAGATAACAATGAACTAAACAGGTTTAGCATCTTCTTATAGTATATTCTACAGAGACTTCAGAATAATTAGAAATGTGAAACTGCTACTATGAACAATTTTTGTTCTTCTTCCGTCATCTATGACTGCTTTCCAAGGAAGTTAGAATTAGAGAAGAGAGTTCCTTGTGGATCTACTAATAATAGCTGGAGAGCTTATTTATAACCACCACAATATTTGATTCTAAGTATGATAGTTTTCAGAGTTAGTCAGTATAGAGGAAAACTCAGGATACATTAATTTCAAAAGAGTGACTATGAAGAAATCAATATAAGAAGACTCTAAACCCTATAAAGGAGGTATCTAACCAAAGAGATAATCACTTTGTTTTTCTTTTGTGTTTTTGTCAATACTATTTCGATTCTATGTTTATTCTCTACCAGGCATGGATTATTTAAAAATTGTTAGCTTTAAAAATTACAAGTATAACAGAAAGCAAAAGACAAAATTAATATTATTGAGCAACTTTAACACTGCTCTTTTATATTGCAATATGCTTACCTAGGGCTACCATAGGTCACCTAGCGCACGTCTGTAAATAAAGTTGATGCCCTTGTCATATTGGTTAAATTCAATTGAATATAGCTTTAACATATTACTTGTTCCTGTAAGGCTGCTATACCCGTATCTCACTAAAGTGTCATTAAAGGAAAAAAACAAAACAAAACTAAGATCTATTTAAATTTCTTTTTCTCTGTGTTGCCTACTCAGCTATGGTGTATTAAGGCAATGTGTATTTAAGCCTCAGTCAAGTTGGTCATTTTCATAATTTGACTGGAGAAAGTGGATTTCACTTGTCGTTTCCATGTCGTTCACTAAGCAATAACACCATCCGGAGTTACTGACCCCATGGGAACAGCAGCTTAATTACTCAGAAATTTTAAGTTGAGAATAGTGGTCTAAGTGCAAACATAGGAACTGTCCTGCCTTTGGGTGGTTTATTATTAAACTTAAAGCCTCATATGGTCTTTTTTTGTTTGTGTAGATTTTAATTACTAAGTAGGTTTGGTAAAATATGAATTACTGTATTATAAGTGATAAAATGTATATGGCTATGAGAATTACAATCTGCAGGTGTATCATACATAAAGCAAGATTAATAGTATTGAGCAATTAAACTGAAACTATCTTTAAGGGGGAGGGGAAAGTTTAATGCTACCTTTAAATATAACTTAAACTGTCACTAAATATCTTTATTTTATTTTAGCAATAAAAACATGTTAGTTGTAGGACTGACTTCTCTATAAGACCTAATTTCTTAGATGAGTTTTCCTTTCTAAGAATACAGGAGTTTACTGAAATAATTTCTATTGGTAACT